AAAAAAAAAAAAAAAGAAAAGGTAAACATTTCGTTGTTCATCAGCAGTTTTTTAACCACTAAAACGCAAAACGAAATAAATTTTTTATTTAAATACTAAAATTTTAATCAGTTTAAAGACTGCTGAAGCAAAAGCTAAGCATAAAAGATTATTGCAGTATTCACAGCAATCAACAGATTCGTCTACTGTATCCGTGAAACCTGATACACTTTATTGCAATGAAATATGCTCTACTGTTGACACCTCTTCAACTTCTACCTTTCCGCTTCTCTCCTAAGTGTGTAAAAAAAACGACAAGAAAGCTATTCAAAGAAAAAAAAATGACAATTAATTGAATTTTTTGCAGCAAATCTGACATAAAGCTTTGTCTGTTACAAAGGAATTAAAACTTTACAAAGGAAATAACGGGTGTTTATAATACTAAAATATCACAAAATGCTTGACTAAGCTTTTCTGTAAAAACTTTTGGTTTTTACCAACAATTGAAGAGTAATTAAAAAGTTTTTAAATAACCTTTGAATATATCTCAGAGAAAAAAATTAGTCATATAAATTATATATTTTATCTATGTCGTTAAGCAACTGTTTAAACGGTTATCAATTATCAATATAAATTGTTGCTGCTTTAATAGAACTTTTTTTTCTCCCTTTAGCAGTTAGCAGTGCTGTTATTCCGCAAACAGATAAAGCAGTATTTGATTGTCATCAAAACTTCTAAATATTATAATTTAATACCGTTTCCTCAACAGAATTGTTCCAAAGTTAAATAAAACAAAGAAGCGGTAAGGAAATCTTATTAATTTGATGTAAATGACAATGTCTGAATTGCTGCTGTTCGTGAAAACTAAAACAAAAAAGGTCAAGGTCATTTATACCATCAACAAATTCAGTTATACAATTTTTTTTTGATTCCTCGCCTCTTTCACCCTCAAAAATTCTTTTTCAATTGTAAGTATATCAGCATCTAAACATGCAGTTCCCAATCAAATACAAGCCTGCCTGTTTTCAGAAAAATGTACGAAAGCTTTGTTAATGTCTTTGATAACCCGCAAGTATTTTTTGATAAGTTCAGTAAACTATAAAACCAAATTGCATCGATAATTTAAACAAACAAAATTGCAAACATTTGTTGATCAAAAAATTGTTGTCATAGAACTGTAACAAAACAAAACTGTCATTCTTCTCCAACAACCCTCGAAATTTGTGCGAAACCAATGTAGCGGAAAATACTTATACACTTCACTTGTTGTTGAAAATTATCCAACTGTCACTGCGGGGGAAAAAAAGTCAAACTAAACTAAATAAAGAGCAGTATTTTAAAAATATATATATTTAAAAAGCGAAAGGAAAAAGAATTGTTTTTTGTGAATAAATATTGTGCAAACCTATTTGCCCTGTTTTTTTTTCAAATCAACATCGAAATTGAAATATGCAGACACACTGTAATATATAAACTGTCGCTAACAATCAACAATACCTTTCTTTTCTTATTACAACAGTAGTTTTCCCCTACTTTTTTTTTGCCCTATTACTGTCTAAATTAAATCACAGTTTAAACATAAAATGCAGCAGAGATCTGCTAATCAAATAGTGATAAAAAAAACAAACTATGATAATAGCCAAGTTAGGAGGTCGGCAACTACAGCAGATATCTGTCATTGGTTGCCACAGTTGCATCACCTCAACATTTTGCTATCAAAATCTCTGATAAAAAGAATTTTTTTTTTTGATCACCATCCAAAAACGTTCCCACAACTGACATTGGCCAACGATACCAATTCAGTGGTTCAATAATGCCTTCTGATACTGATGTTGATGCAACTGGTTTTTTTTTCCTGTTGAGGAATCGTTCTCTCAAAAATTCTGTTACAGTTTCTTTTTTTTTTTTTTTTTTTTGCTGAAGTTAAGGTGTTACTGACTTTCAATAACTTTTTTTTTTATTTTTACCTAATCCGATTTACTTTGCTCTTTCTTCGTTTGTCATGTGAATCAATGGAGAATATAGAACAAACAAAAAAAAACATCAACAAAGCAGAGAATTGTTTTAATCACCGATTTATTGAATTAAAACACTGTAATTGTATAATACAATTGATTTGAAGAGACAAAACATAAAAAAAAAAAATGAAAAAAAAAGAGAAAAGAAAGAAGAAAAATTGATTTTAAAAAAAAGAGAGAAAATAAAAGAGAAAAAAATTGCATAAGCATTTATTGTGAATTACAATAAATATCACAAGTGGATGAGTGAAAGTGCTGTTTGCAGATTGCTGAGTACAGTTTAGTTAGCTGAATTTGATAAGTCTTCTTTAATTCGATCTTTTTCTTTACTTTTTGAACATCACATAATAATGACACTAAAAAATCGCCCGATTATATGAACCCGAAGAGTCGTACACTCGTTATTTACAAGTTCTAAAATTAGAAAAAACTAAAATACTCTGTTTTTTTCTTTTCAAATAAAACAGAAGAAACATTACCCTTAAATGCCGCTTTTCTTGAGACAAATAAAACATCTCAATAAATTTAGAAAAAAATCTAATCAAAAGACATGAATAACAACATCAAAAAAAAAAATTGTGTAAGATGTTGATGCAGAAATAAATTTTACACGACACCCACCTCTTCGTAGTCTGATTGTCGCTACTTAAATCATCAATACGTCGTTTCCTGATACTACTTTTAGAATCACATCTGCAAAAAGAAACAACAACAATCTTTGTCACCGTCATCACCACTGCTGACAACGAATTAATCAAAAACCAAAAAAACTGTTTCTCTCATTAATGATCATGAGACCGAATAAACAAGAGAAAAAAGACAAATCTTAAATTTTTCTTCACTCTTTTTTTCCAAAAATCATAAACCTTATCACTGTACAACCGACAAAGAAATCTTACATTGAATTTTCGGTGCGACGGACAGCCTTTGCACTATAATGTGGCCGCATCTGATGGTGACTATGATAATATTTCCTTCAAAAGAATAAACGGCTATATTTTTTTCATTACAATTAGCACGACTATGTTTATTCCACTTTTTATTAGCAGTATTTCCTGTTCTAATAAACAACAGATTGATTTTTAAAGCAAAAAATACCAAAAAAAAAGTGACAAGCTAGTTTTTCTCCCCAAAAAGCAAAAAAAAAACAACCCTCATTACTGCATAACTAGAAAAAATTTTGACAAAATTCTCTTCTATGATTCTAAACCATGACACTTGCTTTTTGATAAAATTGAAAAACGATAATTTTGAATTCAACGATATTGTTGGTTGCAGAAAGGCGTGTCAAAGGTACAATAGAAGTGGCTCCGTTTAATATCGCTATCTATCGTAGACATTGTTGAACTCTGAATAAGTCTCAAAAATAAACCCCATCCACTGTTGTCAATTTTTTACTTTTTCTGCTTTTTCCAACCAACTAATAATCTGGTAAGTCGAAAAAAAGAAAAAAATTTAGTTCGATTTTTTTCTCTATAAATAAATTTAAAAAAATAAGTTAAGTGAAAAAAAACAAAGCTAAAAATAAAAACGAAAAACTTTTATAAATAAATAAATCAATCTGCTGACATCAAATATAACAAACAGAAGTCAAATTAGTGAAGGAAAAAATAGACAAATTAAACAAACCTAAAAGCATTTTGGATGATCAGTGCGGCTTTCTCTTCAACTGAGCCTAAAATCATTGTATCCTTGTGTTCTACCAAATCGCTAACATCCAATTTTTTAGCAGTTCTATTTGAGCAAAATTTCAATACCAATTCTTCCTAAAAAGAAAAAAATCAAAACAGAATAAAATAAAGAAAATAGGTCTAAACAGTGAAAATTCTGATTACAGCATTCAGTAATGATAATAACTGTAATAATAACAATAATATTAGCATTAAAACTTGACAGTATTACAGATTCAAATGCATCAAAAACCAGATTTCTACCTGAGCAACATTGATTTGCCCCTTAGCTTCGTTCATTTTTCCTTCACCATCGTTGCTGCTGTCGTCCGTGTTCCTGCTGTTGTTGCTGTTGTTTGTAGCTGTAGCAGCTGCAGCAGCATTTTCAGCTACGGCTCTATGTTTGCGGAAATATTTTTGGATTACCAATGCTGCATGTTGCACTTTCTTGAAATAGCAATGCTGAAATGTTTTCAATCCAAACATCAGTGTTAGATGATCAAAGCATTACCATTGCTTTTACCTCGGCGTCATCTCAATCATTT